ATTTTTTAAAAATATAAAGAGAAATATTTTTGTTTTTAATGGATATACTTAATTTAATGTAAACCTGTTGATAAATGCGCAGCATAATAGACCACAAGTATATCCATCACGAACTATGGATGCTCATAATTCAATAATGGTATAACACACACTAACACACACACACACACACACACACACACACACACATATATATAAATTTTTTAAAATAAAAATATTCTTAAATTATCGAATATTGTCATTTATATTATTTACAAATTGATCATTATGTTTATTTTATAACATGTTGTGCACAATTTTTTCATCTTGCGCTCTTGTATAATAGACAAGGAGTTCAGGTATTTTGCAATTTCATGCTAAATACTGATGATTTAGATCATCATAAATTCTAATAATCAAATTATACATATATTTCATAATATTTGATCATTACATAAATATATATTATATTTGTTCTAACGCGATGATTTTTTTATATTTTATTTATCTAAAATACAAACCGAAACTAGTATATTCTTAGCGCTTACAAAAGCATTTTATATAAGTCTGAAGTAATGACGTACGGCTGTGATAAAGTTTTCGAATTGATATTACATGTTGTAGACGAGTAAATGGTCAGCAAATTGCAGGATATGAAATTTTTGCTTTGACATAAGTATTTGGTAGTAAATAAGTAAATATACTTTGTGAGATGTTATTAACTTAAAAAAAAAAAAAAAAAAAAAAAAAAAAAAACAAACCGAGGCCATAAGTTTTCCATCTCTTTGCTCGTTCATTAGACATTCGGTAAATAAAAAAGAAAAAGTAGAAGAAGAAAAACATGTAGCAAATGAGATCGCAGCCACTTCCTGGAAAATATTCTCCACGTTGTGAAGGTGTGAAGAAAATTGTTATATGATTTTTTTCATAATGAATTCTGGTCATGAAACTCTTAAAGCGAATCGCAATTGGCCGAGCACGAGTAAATATTTTATTTGAGCTCTGGTAATTCTGTATTTTCTGAAACTTACATATATCTCTCAAACGATATACTTTGCCTATTCAAAAGTTCCATTACAAGATCACTTATTTCTCTAATGTTTAGAGGCATCATAAGCTGATAATGCTAACTTAGTCGTCTTTTTACTCAACTTAGTTCTCAACTTATTTTTACCTCCATTTATCCTCTCCCTCGGCCTCCTATCAGTGCAGTTTCCTAACTAACATTATTATTATTGTTTGTTAGATTTCTGATTACTTCTCTCCGGTATTTTCCGTAGATTCGTAATGCATTTACGATTTGTCACGTCTAGACATAATGCAAAATGTGTTTCGGTAGGAATTTTTAAATTTATTATAAATGAAAGCTGATTTATACTCCGTTGATGTTTGATTGAAGAAATAAAATTGAAAAAGCACTTAGAGGGAATGGAAAAGTCCGATCGTTTATAATAGTATTTATAAAATTCATTTTAATTTTTTTAATTTACTTCTCTCAATGCCTGATTTATGCTGACATTACATCTTCATTATAAGTTGTTAATAAGACAGTTTTAATTTAATCAATATTTATTTTATTAATCATTAGGCGAAAAATTTATCAATATATTCTACATTATCGTAAATTGCCTTGAAATTTTTGTATTTCAGAAGAATAATTATACACGAGGGAGGTGAGGGTAATTTGAGTAACTACGTAGTGAACCTTAATACCGTGGCACGAGGTAGAAAGTAGTTCATCTTGTCTATCTTGATCGTCACTTCCTGTATCTAATCAAGTGAAAAAGTCAAATAGTGGCTTTGATTTCGTTAAAATAACGAATTGCACAAATAGTGCGTGAATTAGCAATATATTTCTATTATTATACGATGAAAATGAAAGAATATAATTTATTTTTAGATAATTAATTCTACAGTGACAAAATAAGGTTTGAAAAGTTTCAAAATTGAATTAATACTATTCTTACTTAATTTTAAATACCATAAAGTTCAGCTCTGTATATTTCAAAACTAATAGCTCGACTTATAGAAAGTTTTATAGAATTACATTTCCTAAACTGTCAATTCATCTATTAGGAATGTATTGTAAGTGCTAATATAATGAAATGCACGATATTTACTAGAATTGGTGGAGTTCTAGTTGGCATTCATTATTTAACAGGTGCCTTGCTCGCGGGTACCTTGAACTAAGTGCTCCATTACCTCTTTTCACTTCCGGTTCTGATAAGCCCCGATCCAGCATCTGATGTTTCTTATCACTATGTTTCTTTCCTTCAAGATTCCATTTAACTGCATATGTGCATTTGAAGTGACACCTGCTGGGGCCATCGTTAATCAAATTCTAATTAAACAATCATAATGAATGCAGCTCGGCAATTTCACGTTTTATTTATTAAATTAAAGTATACATAATATACTCGATTCTGCCACAATTTTAGGTTATATTATCATATTAATATTTTAAATTTAAAAATCAAATCTTTTTCTCAAACAAATTCTTCATTTGATTTTGAGAATTTGAGAACTCTAGTATGTTATAGAAGAAATTCTGTGTGAAAAAGCTGTATCTCTTAACCTAATTTTCTTTCAGAAAAAATGGTTCTCTACATTCGTTAAAAGTGTACATTTTCCGTCGAGTAATTCTTTAGAGATTTTCTAATAATACATAAAAGTTGTTTTATGAAGTTTATATTTATATATATATATATTTTTTTTTGTTTCTGGTTGAATTTAAAGAACTCTATGTAAATTGATAGACTCGCCAACTGTAATAGGAAACGTTCATTAAAGAATTAAAAACAGTGTTTGGAAATAGTATTGAAAGAAAAAAATTATAACAATAATATTAGCTACCATAGAGTGCGGAAATTTAATAAAAAAAAAAAACGGTGATGTTAATTATGTTATAGATGTTTTGAATATGTTTATATGTATGTATATGGAAGTAAATAGAATGAACCATTTACCAATTTATATCTGCTTATAAATATGGATTCTATAGCATAAAATAAAATTATTTCAATTTATACATACAATTATAAGATTATACAATTATTTTCTGCATATATTATATATTATAATAAAATTACATTTTTAAAATGATGATAAATAGAAATAAAAATAAAACAAAAAAACAAAAAATCATTTTTAAACGCAAAATAACATAGGCTTATTATTAATTTATAATAGATTCTTTGGCATATATTATTTAACAATTTTCACTAGGTATTTATAATTCGTTGCTTCAAAGATTACTTCAATATCAAGATTATAAATTTTGGATACTAGGTGAAAAAAAAAGAAATAAGAAAAAAGAAAAAAGAAAAACAAAAAAAAAAAAAAAGAAAAAATATACTTTTTCGGAAATTTCTTTGCCTAAATATGACATGGATATAAGGTTTTCGGTAGATGCTTCCGTTAGTAGAAATTAAGGCTAACTCCCATGATATTACAACTAAGTCGGGATATTGACAATGACAACGATCTTGTAGCCTACATTTAAAAATAATATATATCTATATATGTATATGTATTTGTCGTTGCAGAAGTGCCTGACGACTCTGGACCTGACGTCCCTTGGTGTGGGATCATGCGTTGGGACAGGGATGTACCTTGTCGCAGGGATGGTGGCGCGGAGCGTCGCAGGGCCCGGCGTCGTCATCTCCTTCATAATAGCAGCGGTTGCATCCATTCTTTCCGGTGAGTATGGAATACACAGTTTAAATATCCGGCTAGAATGTTAATTCAAATGCGGGCATTTGTGTCCTGACATATGTGCCCACGGCGACCTTACTCGATTAATTATTGAAATTGCAAGAATATTCATAAATACTAGGCAAATTAACAGCGAGTTCGTGAATTTCTTTGTGTATATGCAAATTCTACCGATGAGTTCGATTAAAACACGATTTGGGACACGATTAATCGAATTGATACACTAGGAGAAAGATAATAGGGGTGAAGGAAATTCGGCGCTGAAAAAAAATTGCCGGAATATTTTTTAATATTTGGGATAATATCATTAATATATTGCGAGGGAAAATACTTTTAATTTGATATAAAGGGATTGAATACTTTGTATTCGAGAACATTAGTTATAAATGTTGTATATAAAATAAGAAGACTCTGTTGAACATGAAATTGATAAAGATTTTATAAATCCTTAGGAGATTGTAATTTATATGGAGGGAATAAAATTTATACTCGTTAAATGTTTTTTAAAAATTATGCCAAGTCGCATAATAAGCATGTGTTTAATTAAATACGTTAAAAGAAAATTTTACTTTTTATATTGAGCTTACGTATAAAATGAATTTTTAGAAAAAGTGATGAAACGAGTATAACGTGTTTGTAAATAAATTGCTTCGAACAATATTTAACATAATTTCGCCGGCAGATTTTAGGAAATGTGGAAAATTGCATAAGCAGAAAAAAATACTGTAGGCCGTAGCTAATATTGTAAGGATAATTAAATAAATAAATGAAGTTGGATTAGATGTTCCACTAGAATGAGAAATAAAAAAGCATTTAATTAGATATCCGTGGTTGGTTGGAGTGTAGAATGAAAAATCTTTAGGTACACCAATAAGAAAATGAAAAAGATAATATTTTAAGGAGTTCGAGAAACGTCGATACACTGAGTTATTTTGAATATGATATATTATTAACGAAGGAAATAATTTGTCATTATAAGTATTTAATTCTCGACAAAATTTCTTAATTTCCTCTTGTAATAGAAGAGTAAAATAAACTTGTAATCTCGTAAAATATACTTAATTTTTATTCATTACTTATTAATATAAGTTCTTTTAATGTTTATAATAAATTGTATAATGATCCGATGTTATAAAATAAATAATATTCATTTTAATTAATGTAGATTTAATATTTAATATAGATATTAAATATAAATTAGTACATAATATTTGAAGATCAGGATAAAGTGGATTTATTATGTTGACGATGCGATGAACTTTCCAGTTAGCAATACTCTTTAATCATATGCAATTATAAGCATGATTTATTGTACTGCATGTATTAGAGAGAGAGAGAGAGAGAGAGAGAGAGAGAGAGAGAGAGAGAGAGAGAGAGAGAGAGAGAGAGAGAGGGAGGGAGAGAGAGAGAGAGAGAGATAGCAAGATATGTTATTTGGTATTTATAAATGCATAATATCATCAAGATTGATCCAGAAATATTTTAATTGCATTAAATAAGAATAATATAAATTTCATTCCTTAACCCACATTATCATATTAAATAGAATCGATAGATCAAATATAATGAATAATGTATATACTATAGTATAATTAGTCATAAAATTATTATTGAATTCGGCTCGATGTGTTTGCTTAGATTTGTAAAATCTATACTATAATGCAGCAAATAATACTTTTACAGTCGGAATATCGACTACTCATCATCCTTAAATAGAGCGATTCAGTTTTCATTGGCTGAAACGAATGTCTTACAATCAGCGTATTAACGGACACGTTCGCTTTAACTTTTATGTACTTACCGTTTAGTCTTCAAGAATATATTGTGTCACATTGGTATCGCCAAGTACATTTCTGGATTGAAGCGTCTCGACTTTTCTCTATCTGTCTCGATTGTTATGCTATCGTCGATTACGACTGCTAAGCCGATTTAAACGTTAAATTTTAAGTCTCGATTTTATTTCGTGAGAATTCACCGATATAAGTATATTGTATTTAATAAATCGATACAACGTGAGATGATGGGCTAATCGACGCGATCCTTCGAACAATTGCAGGGGCGTGTTACGCCGAATTTGGAGTACGAGTGCCTCACACGTCGGGCAGCGCATACATGTACAGTTACGTGACGGTAGGCGAATTAATAGCATTTATAATTGGATGGAATATGGTGCTGGAGTACCTCATAGGTACGAGTGCGTGTGCCTGTGCTCTTAGCGCCTGCCTCGACGCCCTGGCGAACGGAGCCGTTTCCGGGGCCATTGGTGATACGTTCGGCACCATTTTTGGTGAGTTATTTCAATTATTTACTATTTTCTATTTCTCCAGAGTGTAGCCGTCAAGTGAACAATCGTCAAGGGCATACGGCTTGTGTTGCATTATGATAGCAAAATCATCACAATGATAGCAAAAAAAAAATGATAAACAAAAAACAAAAACACTGAGATTTCATATGCACATAAATCATAAAGATGTAAAATTTTATAGATACGAATTTGTGTCAAAGGCATTAACACTAATTTTAGCTACTAAATCTCTATTGAAGAAGTAACGTATAGCAGATAAAGGAATAATCTACACGGCAGCATTTCAAATTTATGTACTCGAAATACATTCAAATACTATTCGAAATTTATTATCATTCTATACATTAGAAAAATGGTACGTACCTGATTAATAAAATATGATTTATTCGAAAGTCACAAAATTGCTTTATTTTAGTATATTATGCGAAAAATTAAGACAAAATTTTTGTAAAACTATGATTGCAATAAATATTAGCTCACTTATATGTATGTATAATGGTGAAAAACATTTGAGAGGTCAGATATTTCGATAAATATTCCTAGATCAAGGATATACACAAAATTAAAATTTCTCTATTAAATGTATTTTGATTAATTTTTTTCTTTAATATATTCCCACTTATTGCTAGGTAATTCATTATAAAAATTAATTTGTAACCTATTTCTCAATTGTAACGACTTTTTTCTTTTTTTTTTCTTTTCTTTTTTAATTATAATTTACTTAATTATATTTCTTAATAGAGAATTTGAATTATTTACCAAAGTACTAAGAAATTCAATTTATTTGTATTATAGTTAGAATATTTAAATGTAAATTATTAGCTTTATGCCCAGAATATTTAAATAGTTTTTAAATTATATTAATCTACCGAGCTTACGAAAAATCTTGAAAGATAAAAGCAGAATCTTAAAAAAAAAAAGAAGCAATCTTTACGAATAAAAATTTCATTTCTTCATGACACGAAATTTAAAAGCTTTTCTCCTACAATTATTAATCATTCAAATAATGATAGTATTTTACCAGTAATTATAATAAGCTTATAAGTAGAAAAAATAAAATATTTTAAAAATTTATCTATTATTGTATACGTTATCGATACTTTTCGTACAAAATATATTCTTTTTCTATGTAAAAGATTTTTCTATTACAAGTCGTACAAATATATAGACGATAAACTTCCAACTAAAATTACTACGCGAAAACGCTACAGCATAAATTACACTAATTGTACATGAAAATGTCTTATACATGTTTTAAAGTGTTAAAGATTTCAAACAAATGAAAGGAAATATCCATTTAGAATTTAAGGATGAAAGCGGAAGATGTAAATTTTTATATTTTTAAATATAACTTTTAAGCATAGCACTACATTTTAAATATTAAAACAGCTATTTTATACCTTAATTTATATTTCATACTGTTTTATACTTTTTACCTTATTTTAACTATATATTTTGAACTATTTAATACTATTTTACACTTAAATAACAATAAAGTAAATAAATAATTATTTCTTTTACTACCTTATTGTCATCGTATGCGAATAGTTTATGTAGTTGAGTTTTTTACTCAGTAATAATTATATCTTTTATCTTTTTAATTTATATATATATATATATATATATATAGCATAAATAGGAATTTATGTATAATTTTTACTTTTAATATTCCCAGATATTTTATTTTAATCTATGATTTATTAAATACAAATTTAACAATATTATGTACATAAAATTGTTGAAATGTTGCAATTTAAATGCATATCACATTTAAATTTACCGTTATGACAAATTCTAATTTACTGCGTACAAATTTCATAATAGAAATTAGTATCAAATATTGTCGTATAATATTTGTAGTTGTATTATTTATTAAGAAAAAAGTCAGAAAATTAAATATGCTATTCCAAATATTTAAATTGAATAAATTAAAGGAAAATATCTTATAAAGCTAATACTAAGAAAACATACGGCGTTTACTCTAAACTGAAATGATTTATAATCTACCGGAAGCCATTTTTTCAAAAAAATGTATATAAATAAGACATTTGACAGTATATTTCAAAATTTTTATATCAAGTTAATGAAGATTTATGATCGCGAAAATGATTTTATAATTGAAAATAAAATTTATAATTCATATATTAGAATTTTTTATTTTTAATTCCTTTATGTTTTGTATTGAAATATATAAATATCTTTGATGTCTAAACAAATAAGCAAATAGTTGATGAATAATAACATAGACATTCTATACATTTCTTCGAAAAATTCTTTTTCTTATTTATTTTCTAATTAATTATTCTTATATCGTTTTTCGACAAAATGTCAGATTTGTATATTACTGTCCCCGTTAACTTATTTAATTTGTTATAAATTTGTAGGAGAAACTAATGTGAAATATCAAACTTTAAACAATTTTTTTTTTTTTTTTTTTTTGACAGCGATATTTATTAAAATTTTAGTCCTTTCAATTTTAAAATCTATTTATAGTGATAATTATGAAAATGGATATTCATAATACGAATTTTAAACTATGAATATACAATGCTACAGCGAACAAATATATTGTCTAAACCTTCCAATTCCATTCCATTATAAACAATAAGTAAAGTATAAGCACATTTTAATTAGTTTATGCAGTTTACGTACGAGTTTAACTCAAATCCTTAGGATACTTTTTTACGATACAGCTACACGACTAGAAAAGATATTTAGATATTCCATAAGAATCAATCGAGTAAGGAAGCTTGACAATGAAATAGATGAAAAAATTTATATACCTTAGTTAACCGATGTGCTTGGAACGATTTTGATTTAGTAGTTTTGTATTAATTTCATCTTTTTTTTCTTCTTCTAAGTAATATTCTATAGGCTTCATCCGATATTATTATTATGTATTTTTAAAAATTATACCTCGATCAAATTTTATATTATACTACTAAACAATAACGTTTTTGAAATTGTTTGTTGTTTTTTGAAAAAAATTTAACTACAGTCTTTTTATTTCAAATGTGTATATCTTAATATATTAAAGTTTAAATATGAATGATATAACATTTTGCTACATATAATTAATTTCAGTATTTTATTATGTAGAGCAGCTTTTATTGGTCAAGATAAATTAATGTTATCGACTCAATAAATTATCTAGCATTTTCAACTAAAATTATTATTATACCGCGTCTAATTTTACATTTCTACAATTTCAATTTAACATTTAAATATCGAAGTACCATCAATTTAAAATATTCACTTTTTTTTCTTTTAACTTAATAAAAAAATATCTCTTTTATTTGTCTTCTGTAACGTTAATATAATTCGCTTGAGCAGCAGATTGAAATAAACATTATTACGGTTTATTTTGCTGAATAATTATCACATTTCCGTATTCGTATTTACATTTACAACCTGAGATCGATTTTTAACTTTTTGGTGTAATACTCATCACTATATAATTTATTTATTTCCACTCTCTATAATATAAAACTCTAACATCAATCTTATCTGTTCAAATGGCGTACATACGATTTAAAATGTATTAATTACTGAAATTTTTTTTCACAAGTTTCTCGATATATATAGTGTATGGAGAAAATACAATCTTACGAATGTACAATTATCATAATTATTTACAGATGAGTTTAATTTAGATTATCCACCTATCCGTTATCCCCTTAAACACCTACAAATTTACAAAATATTTATATTCTTGATGCTCTCGATAAAATGAAGACTCTTTATGTTTTATCTAAATAAAAAATTTTAAGTACGTTTTTGGGGGAATTACTTTTGTTTATTAAAAAGTTTCAAATTACTTATTAAATTCTAAGAATAACTTCTCTATGAGATATGTATTTCTAAGCTTTTTATATTAAAAATTTGTTCATAATACCTGAAATCGTATATATTCACATATATACATTAAAAGCTTTCCTACCATTTATAAATATTCGAGATTACATTTTTAAAAAGTAGTTCAACAGCATATAAATTTTTATTTAATTTAAAAGTTATAGTCTACTTTAAGCTTTTAATATTTTATACAAAAATTATGAAAATCTGTCTCATACATCAAAATTCCTGGTATTATTGTTATCGTGTTTGCCAGTAATACTGGATTATACATTTTTTATACTCGATCTTTTCTATTACCAAATATTTTTTTATAAATAATTAATTTTTCTATTTTTGGCGGTAATTTGGATTTTGTTTTTTCTTTTTAACGATTAATACGATAATAAGACGATTACACTTTATCGCTTTATTTTTGATACAACGAGCTTATTTTATCTCGTAAAATTGTTCTAAAATTTAGATTGTACTTAATATTTATGGCTATTCTATGGTTTTACGATGTTGTTTAAAATGCTTGTGTCGATTGATTTTTATCAAAATCTCTTTGTCTAATTATCAATCTTTTTCACAATTAAGAAATATTTAAACATGTTTATTTTTATTTATATATCCCACCTAGATCGTTTATATTGAACAATTAATATTTTATTTTATCAGTTTTTACATTCATTTTTTATCCGGATTATTTTAATTATGTATATTGACTTAAATCAATTTTATAATTATAATATTCTGGTTTAAAGCGACGTATGATTAATAAGCAATACGAACGCGAGATCCCATATTAGTATAAATATAACTATTTAAGTATCGAATTCCATTGGTTTTTCATGAAATGTGGACCAATGTATTCCGTACCGAAGATTTTAATATTTGATTTTTTGTTTTGTTTACACTTTTTGCGAAAAAAGTTGATTAGATTTATAGCATAGACTTTTGAATTTATAGCTTTGGCTCTTAGAATTTTATGAAAGTTCGAGTTTCTCGAAAATTACACGCGATGTAGCTTGTACTATAGTTCGATTCTCGCGCTCTGCGACATTATTTTACTCCACTATATACGACTTTCCGGACTTTTATAGTCTGACAATTTATATCATGTTGTGGTATACAATTTTCTGTTT